GAAAAAAGGGTTTGGATTTCCCGCAACGTTAAATTCATGGATATGAATACACATGATCCCGAAGTTTTTATAGATTTTTCACCCGATGAAATTAAAAATAAACCCGAATGTCCCGAAGCTATCGAATTTTAAATGAAGAACCATGAACCCAGCGTCGTTTAATATCCACAAATAATAGACATAATGACGAAGTTGAAAAAAATAGAAACAAAAAAGTAAACCAAGTTTAAAATTTCATCCGACCAACGCCGATCCTTGCATTATACATTATCATCTGTTGAAAGTATCATCATTAACATAGCAAATAAATTGACTCAGTTTTAGTATTAAAGACTTCGGAGAAGTGTATAATTGTCTAAGCATTGAATTCCGTAGAAACGGAAATGAAATCCATCCGAGTCAACAAGGTTACGTTAGTAAAGTACTCGAAAAATTCGGGATGACAGAATGTAAACAATCGCTACTTCAATCGGTCCTAGAACTAGACTAACTATGATGGAATGAGGGACTCCCTGGGGTCTCCCCTCCGTCAGACGGAATGGTTCCAAGAAGCCACCGATGTGGTTCCTGAGGGTTAACGAGGCGAGTAACTCCCAGGTTCGGGCCTATCGACACCCCTAAGCGTTCAATGCAGGGACTACACAACGAACCGGGCGATCCGCTGTACAGCCCTCTAACCCAGCATGTAGGCTGTATCTAACTACCGCCTCGAGTCCAACACCAATTGGCGGGGCAGAATTCAAAGCTAAACTCCAGGAGCTCCTCCGCCTCCCGAGCACCGGTATAGGCTCTCCGGTTGCCATTAGCTTCTTCGGAGCACCACTCGCTGGGTGACATCCGTTTTGCCGTACCGGACATCCTTCAGCCCCCTGGCTCGCCCGAGCTACTATGCTTTTCGCATCTACTCTGCTTTCGCCACACAAATGTGCAGCCCCCCTCATAAGTCAGACTGCACACCCGATCCATATATAGTTGCCGGCATTCCACTATGCTTCACGTCGTAACCCCCCTAATGGGTCAGGTTACCCTCTCCTATGTGACCCCGCCTGATGTGCACCAGTAGTCAGGACACTTACTTCGACCTTAGACATGAGTAGGAGATCAGCTACTCAGAGGATCGCTGGCTTTTCGATGCCTGTCGAGGTTCCCATGCGATTGCCACTAATGGTGTTAGAATGCCAGCTTACCGCGTACTTTCCCCTCGGGATATCCGCGGCATTTTACGGCACACCAGACGTGTGCTTTCGGACCTTCACCCGTGTCCATCTTTTGCTTCACCATAACATTGAATGGGTACAGAGCCCCCACCGCGACAAGGTGAAAACCTTGGGCGGTCTTAGTACTAGACCGCCAAATGTGAACTTGAAAGCGCCGAAAACGAGTCGACGTTATCTTACCGAGAATTGATCGGTGCCTTAAACTACTTAGCCGTCGCCACGAGACCGGAAATCAGTTTCGCATGTAGCTTGCTTTGACAATTCAACTGCTATAACGAATCTCATATGCAGCAGCGAAACAAGTTTTGAGATACCTCAAAGGCATACCGTCACTATGATTGTCCGATTTGCCCAGTAACGAATTATATTCCGGATTCGTCGATGTCGACTAGGGCGAAAATTTGGTAGACAAAAGATCTCATAATTGCTCCTGTTTCATAGAGAAACTTCCAATGAAGCTGAATATATGGGTCTCTCAGATATCTCAAAAGGAGAGATTTACAAAGTAGAATGAAGATTCGGGCTATAGGGCCGTGGTCTAAGTGAACTATTCTGTTCAGACGTTGAACGTAGATTACATCTCGAAGTCTCGATAGCGACTGGGTGGAGAGCTGGCTGATCGTCACAGGAGATCAAACGTGCCCTTCATCCCAGGAAAACTGCACCGGAGACACCTCAACCACCGCCCGTAGGTTTCGCCTTCCTTCCATATATTAAAACGGTCACGGATCGCATTGGGAAGTTATTGATGCGTCATAACGTCAGAACCTTCTTCAAACCCGCACAATAACTACGAACCTTAATAAGATCAGCTAAAGATCCTAGAGACCCTTTAACATCCGCTGGTGTTTATAGAATCCCTTGTTCCTGCGGAGGAGTCTACATTGGCACCACAAAACGCAGCATCAACACAAGAATAGCCGAACATGAACGCTGCTGTCGACTTCTACAACCTGAAAAATCGGCCCTAGCTGAGCATTCAATAGGAGAACCGAACCATGTTATTAACAATGACGGAACTAGAGACGGAAAAGAAGAAGGGCTTCGTTTGAATAAAGTATGGTACCCAGTCCTAAAGAAAACTATGCAGAAAGCACCGAACAATACACCGAACGTTCATCGGATGAGTCAAGCCGACGCTGACGCCGACGAAGCCATGCCCCTGCCCCTCCCACTACACCACAATATAAATATCAATGATCAGCCAGCGGCATGGCCTAGAGATCTAGACCATTGCTTAGCATTCGGGAGGACGCTTTCATTCTCTTCTGTCTTCATTTCGTCCGTCTCATTTTTCTCACCCGAACCACCACCCACCCATTCCCACGATTCTTGAAAGCAGGCTGAAGAGGGCTTTCCGCCCTACCTTCCGGCATAGTCCGGAGGGACGGCCCGCCCACCAGCATTACTGGCTGGTTGGAATGAAACACCCAAAAGTTTTTTATTTTTTTTTCAGCTCTCCACCCAGTCGCTGTCGAGACTTCAAGATCTAATCTACGTTCACATTGTTAACGCAGCACTACCACTGATGATGTCAGCCGCAGTAGCTGATGAAACGTCAGGACCAAATAGTTCACTTAGACCACGGCCCTATAGCCCAAACCATCATTCTACTATGGATTTCGGCCGTGAAAGCCTTTATTCTTATATTGAAGAGATTTACCTTCAGAAATTCCTAACTGAACTAAAACTGAACGGAAATAAAACTGGAAACATCGTGCCCATATTCTGCAACTTGGGAGCTATAAATTTCGCAAAAAATCCTGTATTCCACGCGAAAAGTAAACATACCGACATACGCTACCATAAGAAAACCACTCAAGGACGTTATTTCTCTCAATCATATTGCGACGACACACACGAGAGCAGACGAACTAACCAAAGATTTATTCAGATCAAAAGACCAGAGAGTGTTAGAAAAAGTCATCTGTACCTGCGTCGAGTGTAGCGTGTTAGAGAATAGCCACTAGTAGTAATGTACTTAGTACAGCAATAAATGAAAGGGCCAACAATATTGCTGTACTACTGTTGTGCAATACTACACATTCTTAAATTAACCATGTACAGGAACACGTTATAAATGGCTTCTTTGGTCTGATTGATCAGAACTTTACTTTTGCCAAGATTACTCATAATCGAACACTATACAAATCAGCATTTTTTTCCACTGTTAATTTGCAACTCGCCACTGACCTTAGCTGAGCAGTTATCAACTCTGTGCACAGGCCGAAAGTCACCGCCTCGATTTGCCACTGCGCATCCGATGATTTATGGCTTTTTGTTATCAGTAAATTCCTTTTACTGTATGTCCTTATGTTTAACTGCATGCTGTTTTTTAGTTTGTTTTATGTTTTGTCAATTGCGTTTGTATTTTTTTAATAAAACCTTCTAAAAAGCAACAGAGTGACAGCAGCAATAACTTTTCCTTATAAATTTAAGATTATCTAAACACATGGACGGGAAGCTTGAGGGTATAACTATCTTTCCTAAAAACAATGTTGCTAAAAATTTTTTTGTGTAAAATACGCATGCTCTTTTGCTGTCTATTGTTCAGTGCTACTTTTAAAAAAAAAAAGTTAAAATATGGAAAACGGTAAATATTTGAAGTAGGAAAGCACTATAAAAGTCAACCTAAAGTAGAATTCAAAACCGTCGTAATATACAGGGTGTTCCATTTAAAATAACGAAGTTGATGTTAACTTCCGGTACAACCAAAAGTGCTACGTAAATGCCATTATGTTAACTGAGGAGAGCATACCCAATAACGCTATTGTCCAAATTTCAAGTCGAAGTAGTTTCCGAAATATTCGTTGTGTGAGACACCCTGTATATCTACACGAAGGTTAAATTACGATATACAGAAAAATAGGTCGAAATAAATCCATATTAATCCCAATTTGACTATCACTTCATTACGAAGTACCGATAGAGATGTGTGGTTTGTCAAAACAAGCGCAAGTAGGGATTGAAAGACCTCGCTATGTAGTGGTAAGTACACGTGAACACACACACACATACACACCTACGCACGCACGCACCTGCACAGACACACCTACGCACGCACGCACCTGCACAGACACACATACACACCTACACACGCACGCACCTGCACAGGCACACAGGCACACACACACACACACACACACACACACACACACACTAAGAAACGGTAGTTATCGCATAGAGGCGAAGCTTATGCATTACACAGCTGATTTTAATGCAACACACTGACTCCTCCCATTTACATTTGCAAATGTGCTTATGAGGGTAAATCGTACGTAGGTACACTTAATTATAGTAAGAAATTTCAGTAATTACGTCACAAAAATACATAAATATCCAGTTTTTCTGGGAGTGCCGCAGCTCTGCAACGCCTATGCAATACAAGTTGATGATTCTTTATCGTTATCCAATAGATTGGTGTCGATGCTTTCAAGGATATCTCACATTTGTATTTTGTTTACAAACTTGAACATGCACTCACAACTAAAAAAATTTATCCAACAAAACTAAAGATGAACAGCGATTTTTCAAGCAATTAGATTGAACAACGACAGTCAGACGGTGGGAAGGATAAATGTATAATTTTTACATTTTCTTTTTTCATAATTAAAAAAACTTAATAAACACAAATTTACTGGCTCTGACAAATATTTCTGGATAATAATTGTCATTTTATTTTTATTAATAAAATTTTACAAAGTATGTAAAACCTACGTTAAATATGGTTAAAAAAATACATCACAATATCTTCATTAATTAAAATCTAGTTNTCTGACATTTTTTGAATTTTTGATCGGTACAGGGTATCTCATTTTCGGCACTTAAGCGGGGTATCTCCCTTATTATTAAAAACACATGGTTTTCACGACAATGTGGTACTTTTTTGGGAAATCAGACGGCGCCAGCAGAATTAAGATATAGGGTGGAATTTGAAAAATATCACCTTTGAGACACTCCCTGTATCTCAGTCTTTAAACTTATCGAAGAAGTTAAAAGGTAAAGAAATGAGTTAAGTAGCAAAATGGCCGAAGAACGTTTGAATGACTTGACTTTAATGATAAAAAAAATGCTTAACATAGAAATATTGACTTGACTAGTGCTATTTATAAATTTGCCCACACTAAATCAGAAAAAGGGTTTTTTGTAAATGAGCTGTTTTAAATCTTAAACGTTAACACCGATAGCCTCTTTTCATTTACTACAGGTTCCGACCTGGGTTTAACAATAATAATCCGCACCTCATTTTCATTGATTTTTAATGTCATTCGAACCATTCACGCACAGTTCATTTGAGGTCGATTAAGTAAAATGGAATGTGGACCAATAAAACGATCATAAGATTTGATGAAGTAATTATTAGACAAGTGAGAAACTAACTAAAAATTTTAAAATTAATGTTAATAACTACCTCAACAGCTATTAGCTGGTCTTTCATACTAATACTGGTATTCCTGTGCCAACAAACATGTATAGTATTATTGTTCCTTTGCAAGGCAGGCTTAGTTTGCGTACCAACATCTGTTCCACATTGATCCATTATTTCGTCAGATGAGCCTATTGAAATAGGTATGTATTAATTAAAGGTTATTTTATACATGAGTGTTTCTTCTTTTTTTTTTTTAATTCAGAAACATTTCTTCGGTTGTAAATTTTATTCAGTGTTTCTGAAATAAGTATTAACAAGAAAACTTTTAGTGGTTCGAAAGTTCAAGAAAACCGTAATTTCAATGTCAAAGGACCAGTCCGACCCTATTATGATATTATGATCAATGTGTTCAGGGTAGAATGCATACTGCATCATTAACAAACTCCAAACCGTGCTACTTTTTCAGAAACACACTGTATATGCATATACCTACATTAATAAAAATGAATCAATGCTTAAAAAACAAACTAAATGAGGAAAATAAATAGCTTATTATAGTTTTACGCTAAAACTAATAAAATGAGGTGACTCGGCATAGTTTTAGTTGTATTTTTCTTTAAATTTTTCGGGACACTGTACACATGTGAAATTAAAATCAGCTGTTATCACAATTAGTGTTTCAAATGCATATTTGCAAACATCTTATTTATATTTAACCGGCAAAGGTTTTATTTTCCTTCATTTTTCTTTGTCATCGTAACGTTTCATTTAAATTTTTATTGTACTAACCTGTTATAAGTGTAGTTTGATTCTGCCCTAAAGAAATAAACATGACTTTTGTACAGTAGTTTAAAAACGAAATCTTTTCCAATATTATCTTCAGCTGCAGGCGCACTAATGGAGTAACCAAGTAAAGGTAAACACGCCAAGGGAAAATCGTCCATACAACCTTTATAAAAAAACAGACAAAATGATGTAAACACTACCCATAACTTTTGCCAGCCGTTGGAACTTTTGAATTTTCGTAATAAATATCCAGATAATTGATTCTGAAACCAAATTTACTACATTATTATAAGATAATAATATAACTTCTCTAAGCAACTCAGAGCCTACTAGGTTTTTTTAGGCGACAGCAGCAGGGTAAGGTTGCGCAAACGAAAATAGCAATAACGACATTTTTTAATAATTATAGAATACTAAAATAAGGCTCGAATTTATATACGCAGAAATTAATAGATACAGTTTTAGACAAGGTAATTGAGTGAAAAACCAGCAATAAGGGGTGCAGGCAACTAGAGCTGAAGATGATTATTAATAAAATTACAATTTAAGTAGAAAGGAAATAAAGGCATGTACAAGATACGAGGTTCATATTCTACATGAAATGACACAAATTTACCAAAAATAAACGTAGAAAAATATTTTCACAAAAGGGAAAATTAGTGCTAAAATAAAAATTTAAATTTCAATATTAAGTCCCTAAGCGATTCTTTATATTTAATATAGGTCTANAATGAATCAATGCTTAAAAAACAAACTAAATGAGGAAAATAAATAGCTTATTATAGTTTTACGCTAAAACTAATAAAATGAGGTGACACGGCATAATTATAATTAATATAACGTCAAAATATACTTTAAATACTAGGGAAAGTATAGGTTGCAAACGATTTGAAAATTAATATTTCTTAAAAGGGGCTTCAAAAGACAAAGTAGTAAACACGCGGAAAAAAAATTTATCCCCACTTCATTAAAACGCAAAGTACAAAATATATGCGCAGTTGCTACGTGATACTTCAAAGCAAAACACGTGTCCACGTTTTTAAAATTGTTGTGGTGAATTTGGGGTAAGTCTTTTCTTGTTTTTTTATATCCATCAGTACAGTCTCCTTTTCTATTCCATTTTTCAAGTAATTTTTAAATTTTTACTTTTCGCACCAAGAAAAAGTATTATGTAAGTACGTGAAAAGTTTGTAACATACTACTGACGCAACGGTTTCAACTAAGTTATAGGACTAAGTATTAGCCAATTAACAATCTTCAACAAAAAATATATTACTTTATCATCTACGAAAACATAACTTACTACTACTTTTCAAACTCAAGTAAGTAACTTTGGCATCCGGCTTGTCCCGCGCTTGTTGCACGGCACTCTGGAGATCTTCCTTCCATCTATCCTTTTCTTCCTGACAATTGGCAGCCACTGTTAAGGCACGATTACCACCTGTAGTAAAATGATCAATAATATTAGGAGTACAAACCCTTACCAAAAAGGAAGTTGGTTAGTATCGATGAAAGTAGATAGCAAATCTAGCTACTAGTAGTAATGGTAATGGTGGTAGTAGTAGGGATAGTAGTTGTACAAACGATATTAAATTAATTAATTAGTATCATCAAAAGTAATAGTAGTCGTACGAGTGGTAGTGAAGGAGTATTATCAATGTCAATACCATAAATTATAAAGCCATAATTGGCCAGTTCACCCTCGGGTTCTTGTAACAGAACACCGCGAAGAGGTAAGTGACCATGAACTTTGAATTGTAGAGTTGCTTGGGATCTTGATGTATAAAGAAGAATATCTGAAAACTATAAATCTCAAATTAAAAAAGGTTTTAATGTGAAAAATACATTAATTCAGACTAAATGGAGTGATCAAAGCCGTAATATTATATGTCATCCCTCTTCTATTTATTTTTAATCGTCAAATAACTCATAAGTAGTGAATTTAAATGCAAATTTTATTCAACAAAATAGCTTTTAATTTTGAATGGAAACTAAAAAAAAATGTAAGAAAATAGAGCGATCAATTTAAAAAACAAAATGTTCGGTTACCTCTCCAAAAATTACTTTGCAATTTGCATATAAAATCATACCCTTAATCTCAAGTTGCGAACGTGTTTATATCAGAACATAAGCAATTTCTTAAAGCTTTTATACTTTACCAAGAAAAACATTCTCTGCTGGTACCCCTTTCTGGAATGTTTTAGGAGACAACCATGCCTAATAAATTTTCGAGACGGCTGTACCAGATTATCAAATCCAATTATATCCCTTTGTAATTCTATTAAAGCTGCTAGATTTTCTGAATGCTCCAAAGTTTCGGAAACAGGTTGGATAAGTTCCTTTAGGCTATCGCTTGCAGTGAGGCAATCAGCTCTGTCCGGATGGTTTGGACGGTAATGTTTTAACAACCCTTAAAATAACTTTCATTAATTCTAATAAATCAAAAAATGTATTAAGAATAAAATAACATCAATTTTATAGCACCAAATGCAATGTAGTTCCACTGAATTATCTATTTCGAATGCTTGACAATATTCTTTCGATGGAATTCGATCATTTTCAAGAATATTACTTACTTGAGTATTTTAAGTAAAAAATTTAGTGAAACTACATTACATTTGTTTTTAAAAAAGTTTAGTATTTTATAAAATTTGCACTATCGAAAAATAGTACAAAGCATACAATATTTCTTAATTTTCAAGTACTTAAGTTTGTTGTTGGTTGACTTTCGATAAACGACAATGCATACTTGTCCATCCATGTAGCTGCAAAGTTTTTATCACACTAAGCTTAATCAATATCAGACACCCCTGTTGCCAATTTACGCACACCGACTTCGGATTGTAAATTATTGATTTTCTTAAAAAAAAATTTGGCAAAGGTCTAGATGATGGCTGGGGGGGATCGAAAGAGGAGGTCTCCCCACTGTACCATAAAAAGTTCGTAGCGGTCTCATCCCCATAAAAAGTTATGGGGTTCAAAGTTAATAAATATATTTATATATTTCTAGGCATGTAAATATTTATATGGTCATTCCTAAACAATATTCAAAGGTAAAACTAATGAAAAATACATAAAAATATTGAGAAAGTTATACAAAACATTATTTAAATAGCTTTATCAATATGGTAGGTTAGGTTAGGTTAGGTTAGGTTAGGTTAGGTTAGCTTAGATTGCGCTGGAGTGACTTGNATAACTTTTTATGAGGGTGAGACCGTAGCAAATTTTTTATGGGGTTTTACTCAGGTGACCACCTTTGGGGGTGGGGGCCATCATCTGGACATTTACCAAATTTTGTTGATAATTTTCTTGAATTTGGATATGTACCTTTATATAATGAAATCACAAGATCAAAGGAAAAGTAACCAAGCGAAGGAATTTGTATTGATAATTTTTTTATTAGATCTGATATTAACTGTATAAAAACTTACACACTTCTATACAACATAACTGATCACAATAATGATAAGAAATGAAATATAGAAGGAATTAAATGCAATAATTTTGTAAATTATAAAAAAATAGTTCGCCACCGTAATGTTGCAATACGATAAATTTATAATATCACGATATAGTTAACACAACCAAATTACTATTTACCACAGTCAAGAAATTGTATTATTTAGGTATGAAATGAAAGACACAGGAACAGACACATTTTCAAAAAAATTATTGAAAAAACTCATAAAAGCCGCAATAGTGGTGCCGATTCTTAAATCTGATAACAATATCTAACAACAAACAATAGGCCGATCTCGTTAACTCCTAATGTAGATAAGATTTTAGAGAAAATACTTCACAGCTGGCTAATATTATTCTTCCAGAAATACAAAATCTTATATTAGTGTCAACTTGTGGGTTTTGTTTAATATAAAACAGCACACTCCTTAAATATAGTGTCTAAACTGGGCATAAATCACAACTTGACAACACTATATCCTACATACACAAGCAAACTAATCAAAAAGATGTTCTTAGAGGATTCATTTATTCTCATACATGGACACAAAGTAATGAATTCTCGGCCAGACTTTATACTTTTGATACTTTAAGTCAGCAGCTAACTATTGATTTACATTATAATTCACTATTATGACGACAGGCGAAACGTGGTGATTCTTTTATAAATAAAAAACAATTGTGTGGTTTTATGAAACCACGATGCAAGTGAAACATTTCGTTTTGTACGCATTTAACTGTAAATTTTCGGAAAATTATTTGATTTAGGGTATTAAAATTAAAATCACGTTCTTAATCTTGTCTTAATGATTGGAAAATCGGAATGATAATGGAAAATCAATAGTAGACAAGATATCCAACTATAAATTTTAATTTCAACCTGCGTATGAGAGTACGGAATACATAATAAATACAATCATTCAGATGATAGACGCATGTTAAAATCTGAGAACAATATTTATTTAAATCACTGAATCATTTTGAACTTCAGTTATAACATCAATAATTTTATCTCCGCTTTGAGTTTCAGTTTCATAAATGTAATTGTCATGCACTTGCAAGAATGAGTGAGAATATAAATGTTACACGGTTATGCAAGCCATGGGTGCCACCATATTGACCTTGGCTGCTTTGCCGAGCGCTTTTCAGTCCTACTCCGCTGTAATGCGACATGTGATAGATGGACGAAAAAATTTGAAGCGATGTAAGTAATAAAAGTTTCACTTTAAAAAGTTGTATATTGCCCTATTTTGACTTTGATTCTGCAACACAATTGAATAAAATTAGGGAAAAATAATGGAAACTAGAAAATAATTATTTACCACATTTATTAAATCTGTTAGCTATATAAATAGTGAGACTATTGCAATAAATGTTTTTAATGTATTTCCAACCGATTACAAAGCACTTTTGTTGAATAAAAGGAGACTAAAAATAACATTAAATTGTTGGATAAGAGATGGCACATACAATATTTAGTATTTAAAAATACAAANTTAAATCTGATAACAATATCTAACAACAAACAATAGGCCGATCTCGTTAACTCCTAATGTAGATAAGATTTTAGAGAAAATACTTCACAGCTGGCTAATATTATTCTTCCAGAAATACAAAATCTTATATTAGTGTCAACTTGTGGGTTTTGTTTAATATAAAACAGCACACTCCTTAAATATAGTGTCTAAACTGGGCATAAATCACAACTTGACAACACTATATCCTACATACACAAGCAAACTAATCAAAAAGATGTTCTTAGAGGATTCATTTATTCTCATACATGGACACAAAGTAATGAATTCTCGGCCAGACTTTATACTTTTGATACTTTAAGTCAGCAGCTAACTATTGATTTACATTATAATTCACTATTATGACGACAGGCGAAACGTGGTGATTCTTTTATAAATAAAAAACAATTGTGTGGTTTTATGAAACCACGATGCAAGTGAAACATTTCGTTTTGTACGCATTTAACTGTAAATTTTCGGAAAATTATTTGATTTAGGGTATTAAAATTAAAATCACGTTCTTAATCTTGTCTTAATGATTGGAAAATCGGAATGATAATGGAAAATCAATAGTAGACAAGATATCCAACTATAAATTTTAATTTCAACCTGCGTATGAGAGTACGGAATACATAATAAATACAATCATTCAGATGATAGACGCATGTTAAAATCTGAGAACAATATTTATTTAAATCACTGAATCATTTTGAACTTCAGTTATAACATCAATAATTTTATCTCCGCTTTGAGTTTCAGTTTCATAAATGTAATTGTCATGCACTTGCAAGAATGAGTGAGAATATAAATGTTACACGGTTATGCAAGCCATGGGTGCCACCATATTGACCTTGGCTGCTTTGCCGAGCGCTTTTCAGTCCTACTCCGCTGTAATGCGACATGTGATAGATGGACGAAAAAATTTGAAGCGATGTAAGTAATAAAAGTTTCACTTTAAAAAGTTGTATATTGCCCTATTTTGACTTTGATTCTGCAACACAATTGAATAAAATTAGGGAAAAATAATGGAAACTAGAAAATAATTATTTACCACATTTATTAAATCTGTTAGCTATATAAATAGTGAGACTATTGCAATAAATGTTTTTAATGTATTTCCAACCGATTACAAAGCACTTTTGTTGAATAAAAGGAGACTAAAAATAACATTAAATTGTTGGATAAGAGATGGCACATACAATATTTAGTATTTAAAAATACAAAGTCTAAGTTTAATTTAAGTTAATCAGTTATAGAATTCATTTGTTTTGGATGTGTTTAATTATTATTCTGGTTTGTATAGAATTTGAAATATTTCATACCTAAAATTTAATTTCATTTATTTTATAGAATTTAATTTATTTCACACTTACTGTGAAATGCATACTTTTAAAGGGACTGAGTATTAAGTAAGCCAGACCTATATACATATACAGGTAACTTTAGACTATAACCAATCAACAAATAATCATTTTTATTGGTTTGTTTTCCTTTGTGATAACTGATACAATGTTTTACAATTAGTGCACCGTTGAAGTTATTTATTAGACAAATAATGGTATTTCGATGTGAGGGGAGAAAAATTTATTTTACAGGTAAGATTGCAAATTAAATATAGAACATTAGTTTATAAAGATGCAGAATGTGACGTAAAATGTATGAAATGTAAGGAGCAAGCCAGTCAAGATAGACAATGTTCATTTTAACCTTTCGCTTGTTTAGTTTCGGACAACGTCCCTTCCGTTTTGATGGATTATATAGCCATATTTGTCGCTCTCATTAAACCCAGCAGAATTGACTCGTCGATGGTATCTGGTCTTAATGCGGTCACTTTCAAATTTTACATGTCTCATGGATGGTGGATGTACATGTTAAAAGAAAATAGCGGCATGTGTTGGTCCCAGTCACTTCGATGCTCGTTAATGAAGCCTCTTAAGTTGGACCCCAGAGTAGTCATAAATCGCTCAACCATCCCATTCCTAGTTTTTGTAATGTCCACTAGTTTAGTGACCTTCTTGAATAAAACCGACTCGAAGTTCTTGTCTAGGTCGAAATGCAATACCATTGGTAATCCATATCGGCTAATCCGGTGACTCACAAAGGGGTTTGTGGTTCCTGATTCGTCATCATATATGTTTAGGACTATTTGCCAAAATAATTCATGGTGACCAAGATGTATCGGTTACCGAAACCTGTCGTTGGGAATGGTCCTGCTACGTTGACTGTGATTCTCACAAATGACGCTCCCACATTGTACTGCTTGATTTGTCCATTTTCCACAACGCTTCTACT